GCAAAACGTTAATAAATCGTAAAAAAATCAAATAAAGCAAACGATTCGTAATTGTTTTCCTCTCTCACGCACTTTATCTTTCATTCTCTCGCATTCACAGTCATCCTCTCTCTTTCACTGTCTTTCTTCTCTCTCTCTCTCTCTCTCCCATATATATATATATATATATATATATATATATATATATATATATATATATATATTATTAGAAGAAAAGAGTCTACGTGTGGTTCTTTTAGTATGTAAAATAGATAGCTTCGTTAATAAAACAAGGGCAAATGAAAGGGTACCAATATAATCAGTATGAAATATATTTATTAAATATTAATTATTAACCATATGACAGAAATGAAGCATGGAAAAAGGTTTTAGGTCCGGAATTTTCGAACTCGCCTGTTTCCTTCATTAAAGGACCGAGAAATACATACACACACACACACACACACACATATATATATATATATATATATATATATATATATATATATATATATATATATTGTGTGTAGTTAGGCAGCATTTTTTCATTCATACCTGTTTCATTAAATAATACAGACATGTGTTTTTTTATTTATTTTATGTAAATTATTTTCATAACGTCTGATAAACTTAATAGCATTATTATTAAACGAAGAAAGAAAATCACAATATTGATCCATATTTCTTAATACAATCTATACTTTCGGCTTACATAAGCCATTATCAAAGATGACAATTACTGTATAATATATTAAGCAATACACGGACAAGAATAGGATGATAGTCTGTTTCTGTTTCTGTTTACATGGCTGATTTCCAAGCAACGATAAACACGTGCATATAAGACGCTGGAAGCGAAAATCGCACCGCAGCTCATGACGTCACATATGATTACGCGAGAGTGAATTCGAGTATGAAGTATGAAGTATGGGAAGCCGTTAGTATAAACCAATGGCTTCTGTTACCAATTATAGACATTTAAGGATATTTGTGGAGATTTCAAAGTTTATTTTGTTTACCTTAGGTTTCAACTGTTTTATGTATATAGCTTCCAGAATTTTTAGTTTTTGTTTATTGTTTTCATGTTTAGGTATATTATTTAATGGAATATATATATATATATATATATATATATATATATATATATATATATATATATATATATATATATATAGCATATTGAGTGCTGGTGTTAATAAAATAGGGCTCGCTGTAGATTAGAAGAATTTTAAAATATATATTGATAATAAATATACATTTTTTTCCTGTAATAACGCACTCTTCAACAGTTGATTGAAAAGTAACCGTTACATAATTTAAATTTTGAAGAAAAGATGTCTGAAAAGTAAGTACTTTGTTTATTAATTATTGGATTTCTCGTCTTTTAAAAATTTTCGTTAGACTTCTTAAAACCAAATATTTTTTTGTATATACGTTTTTGAGTAGTCGTAGTCGTGCTTTACTTTTTCAAATAATGTAGTTCGCGTTTACTGGTCTGATCTTTCGAGATTATTACAGCTTTGTTTTGAATCTACCCCCCCCCGCGCCATTGATCTTTGCTTGACCAGGGAATATAGAGAGGTAGAGGTGTAGACTCATTACGCCTGTTCAGACAAGTTACATCTTCAACTCCTTTGGTTAGACGATTGAGGGTTGCATTTCATGTTGCCATTGATTTCTGTCCCTCAGCCTCAAACGCTACTTCATAGACTATATCAAAATTGTTACTTTGTCTTATTTATTTTATTATAAGTGAGGGATATCCACCATAGCAACGATTCTATGGGGTAACGAGGAGAAGAACTTCATGTACACCCGTTGAAATTCTTTTCGCCACGTACAGCCTAACATCTGTATGTCATTTGGTTGCAAAATGTGAGTCGACTTTTCAAAATTCTTGCGTTCCTCTGTCGATTTCGGGCAATTTTGGTCGTATATCCAAAATTTAGAAAAGAGCAATCCATCATTGATATAAATCTACGCCCACAAGCTATTCTGACCAATTGCTCGCCAAGTTGACCTAGGTTAATCATTATGCAACACGAGTTACTGTGTGGAAAAGGCTACATTCGGTTGTGACTTGGGTGTGATTTATTTAGTCTCACATGATCCTTGAGTGAATTTAGGGTGCGTCAAAACGGATGTTTTATATAAAAAAAATATGTTGTTTTAGACCGCTTGTATACATTTCAACTCGGATGTACATGTAAGGTAGTGTATATTGCCTCGAGTTGGGTTTGTTACGTTCATTTCTGCGCAAATAAACTTGGGATATGTATGACTCCGTCTCTTTCACCCCAGTTATAGTTAAAGAGTGGAGAAGACAGAGCATTTCAGCCCTGTTTGGCAACCATTCCAAACAAAGAACTAATTAAAAAAAAACAAAAAAACTTATATATCATCGGGGAAAGTCATACTACATGAAGTTATGAAGAATATTGGAATTATTTACATTTTTCACATACTTCGGACTGTTGTTCTCGTCTTTGTTTTTATATTCACGAAGATTCGGCCTTTGCACGCCCCGTTCAGGTAATTCGAATTTTCGAACAGATGTAGAGACGCCTTGATATATAATTTTATAGATGGACAATGAGAATCATGTAAGCTTTAGATCAATAGTGACAACAAAATTTACAATTATGCTTAAAATCAGAAAGAGACAGAAAATATCACTGGGATATATGCGAAAAAAAGAGGCCTAGAAAATCTGACAATCACATAACGTAATAAATCAAGAGAGACAGAGGAAGGCCAGATTAACCTCCTGGCGAGCTTCTATAAAAGAATACAAGCACAGGGAGCGGGAGGGATAAATATTGCTAAGTGTCAGAAATAATAGAATGTAGTGGAGAATCATGATCACAACATCATGAAGGTACACTGCATATAATGCAAAAATGTTAACCATGTGATCTTTTATCCTTTTAGTAACTCTAATTATTTCTATTTTTTATCTGTTACATCCGTTCTTTCAAAATTGCAAGGATATCAGCTCCGTTCTCCTGTATCTTAGAATAAAGTCAAATTAGTCCGCCATTTTTATTCATCTTCCTCCTGTAGTTTCAAAAGTTTTGTTTCCACTGACAACATATTCTTTTCACACCTTGCTAGATTTCTCACCTGCTTTGTTATTTCCATTTCTTACCAGCCTATTAACCTTCAATCTTTAAATACCGTCTCTAACTAATATTTTATTTTTGTTTTTTTTACCTCCATTTTCAATTCCTTCTTTTAATTATTTTGTATATTATTTCCTTCATATAGTTTCATTTATCAATTTACATAAACTTCAGTTCTAAATTCATGTTTTACATTTACCATCATATATATATGAATTTCTCTATCGCAAAAAAAAGGTTCCATTCTTCGCCTGTTTTTCTCAAATAATACGAAACGCCATTAATTTCTACCCAACTTTTCTCTTAATTTTAGTCTAGCTTATCACATTTATCAGTTTCTTCGTTTTTTTATCACGTATATTCTTTTGTTTTATTATTTACTACACCATCTCTTTTTCCCACTTTCTCTCTCCATTCTCCCACTTGCTTATTACATAAAAAACTAAGAATAAATAAGTAAATACAAGTGCAGAAACAAAAACGAATAAAAAAAATAAATAAGTCAGTTAGATGATTTCGTCTTCTTAAGCCGGGCCTTTGTTTACATAGTATTTGTTTATGGCGGCAAAAGAAAAACACAGAGCCACCTGCCGAGCGCAAAGCTGCAAGATTAATTTCTTGCCTACTTGTCAGACTTTATGCGTCTTTTGATGCTCGAAAGTAGAAGATAGAAACAGACTCAGACTAAGCGAGACGCCAACATTGCTCCGGTTGAAAGACGAAATGGAGGAAATATAAAGTATTATAACTGTGCATTTTATTCGTTGTATAGATGAATATTAACGTAAAAATTTTGGAATTAATGTTGCGTATGAGTACAACAGTGTACGTCTCGGATATATTTTTACATACTGCTATGAGGTAGATAATTTCGATCTTTACATCTATCTATCTATCTATCTATCTATCTATCTATCTATCCTATTCTGTTAATATCTCTCCAATCTATTCATAGCTATATTTATCGCTTTCTATCTATATATCTGCCTATCTCTAGTCACTCTAATCTGTGCTTCAAATTCGCAATCTTCAAAAATTCTAACATAATTCTACATAACTTTAACGGATGTCTGTCTATCTATCTATCTATTTAATTCTGTTCATATCTCTGCAATATATTTATAACTATATTTATCACATGTCTAACATCTATCTATCTATGTGTCTAACCATCTCTAGTCGTACTAATCTGTGCTTCAAATTCCCAATTTTCAACAATTCTAACATAATTTATTTAACTTAAACGAATCTATCTATCTATCTATCTATCTATCTATCTGTTGAAACTTGACTAATGCATGGAATAATAATACAACACAAAATGTACTTAGAACAAAATGTATTGAAACAAGAAAGTGTACACAATATTTACATATAGTATTTTGTATATTTCTGGGAAGACCGTTCCAGGAGAATGGATTGACTTAGTCGCAGTCGGGCAGAGTCACTTGTTGAATCTCTTGATTCCTCCCCTCGTCTTCCCATTACAAACCATATTTATATGGTCGGTACTCCACTATGCAAATTAGGTGGATCCTACCACAACTCTATCTATATCCATGCAGCAAATATTTATAGAAACAATATTTTGAATGTTATTCGTATCATATTTTAAACAAGATTCTGTTGGCATCTTAGTTTCTGTAAATGACGTTGTTGTTGGTTTTTGAATTTTTTAATGTGATCAATGTTTAAATTATTTTTGGTTGGAAAACGTTGTATATGTAAAAGAAATGGCAAACATTCGCGTGAGTTCGTGTGAATGTTTCGATATTTAGATTGGCTAAAGTCATTATCAGCCGAGAAAGAAGGAAAGGAGATGAGATGAAAGTCAATGGCCGTGTGGCAGTGTGCATCTTTTTGTTGAGGTTTGAATGTTTGCGTTGTCACGGGACCGAGATGTTATCCATCGCACTCGAATCATATCTATCTATCTATCTATCTATCTATCTCAATTTATTCCTAATATCCCTCCCCCTCACTCTCACTCTCACTCTCTGTCTCTCTCTCTATCTATCTATCACTTTCGCTTCCTTATCTATATATCTACTTTTCTACTATAGGCTTTCACTTTAACTATCTCTCTCTCTCTCTCTCTCTCTATCTATCTATCTATCTATCTATCTATCTATCTATCTCTGCCATGCCCTTCCTTATATATCTATCTCAGCCTGTTCATAACTATCACAGTTTATTCCTTCTCTCTCTGACTCCCCCTTTCTTTCTATCTCTATTCATATCTATCTCAATTTATTGGTTATCTATCTCTCCTTCTCTCTCTCTCTCTCTCTCTCTCTCTCTCTCTATCTATCTATCTATCTATCAACTTTGGGTGTATTCATATAGCAAATATTTATTCCAACTTTTTTTTTGTCAAAAACAAAAGGAAAGTTATTCGTATATTTTAAACAAGTTTCTTTTCTTTTTGACGAATTAGTTTCTGTATCTTGAAGTCGTAGCTGTAAAAGAAATGGCGAACATTCGTGTGAGTTCGTGTGAATGTTTCGATATTTAGACTGGCTAAAGTCAGTGTCAGCCGAGAAAGAAGGAAAGGAGATCAGATGAAAGTCAATGGCCGTGTGGCAGTGTGCATCTTTTTGTTGAGGTGTGAATGTTTGCATTGTCACGGGACCGAGATGTTATCCATCGCACTCGATTCATATCTATCTATCTATCTATCTATCTATCTATCTATCTATCTATCTAACAACTGTTCGTATCTATCTATCTATCTATCTATCTATCTATCTATGCCATGCCCTTCTTTATCTATCTATGTCAGCCTTTTCATAACTATCACTGTTTATTCCTTCTCTCTCTATCTCACTCCCTCTCTCTCTCTCTCTCTCTCTCTCTCTCTCTATCTATCTATCTATCTATCTATCTCTTTTGCTTCCTTATCTATATATCTACCTTTCTACTTTAGGCTTTCACTTTATCTATCTATCTATCTATCTATGCCATGCCCTTCCTTATCTATCTATCTCAGCCTGTTCATAACTATCACAGTTTATTCCTTCAATCTATATGTGACGTCCCCCCGGTGTCACTGCGCCAATTGTGACGTCCGCCTGTCTGCGTCAGTCGTGCTATCCTGTCTTGTGACGACCAACTGGCTTGGTATTGGTCGCGGCACCAAATGTGACGTTCTAACCTTTTGGTGATTCGGATGGGAATCTGGTTAGACTCGGTATCAGCCTCGTCGTTCCCAGCTCGCCTCCAACGTCTGGTTACCGAAGTAACTGCTTAGATTTTCAGTCTAACCTACCCACGTTGTGAATTGATCTTAGGCAGACGAAATCAATCAGTCGCCGGGCCGTAATGCAAGTCGAGTTCGAATAAGGGTGATATCGCACAAGTATATGTAAAAGAAAAGAAAATAATAACTCGAAAAGTTCAAATGTGTTAAAAAAGGATAACAATATTTTATATCTGGTTTCTGAATATAGGACTACGTCTTCTTCCCAACCCCCTATATGGATTCGTGACACTTTATGTTTGTTAGGCGAGTCTTAACATCTTAAGTTGTTTGTTCTTTTAAGAAACTGGTTCTTGGTGTGTCTTCAGGCGATATTCGTGATTTGCGTGGAATCTTTCAAGTCAGCTATCTGCGAGGCTATTAACTCTGCAACTGTCTCTGCCAATTGCCAACTCCAACTGGAACTGATTTTTGCTCGCTGCGACTTTGCTTATATGGACGCCGACCAAAACCGGGGTGGGCTTGTCGGGGTTTGAGGTTCCTTGATAATTCCAAACCCACAATCCACTTCTTTGTTTTCAGTCAGGAAAATTTTATTATTTTCCATTTTTGGAAGTCTTCCATCTTCCCACCTTCTTCTGTTCTCATATTGGTATCTCACCATGCCGTCAGAGGGTGTCAACGGGTTTCTCCTCTCTCTCACTGTGGCATCTCACACCTATTCCTTCAGTGGGCGCAACAGGCCTCACCCCCTTCTTCACATGATTACCTCCGCCTAACGCTCATGCTGTCATTCAGCCAATGGGCGCTCAGCAGCGTGGGTGTGGCCAGACTAGCCTCGGTTTAAAAAAATCTTGCTCAAAGAAAAAAAATTATCTACTTTTTTTCTTTTTTTTCATTTCTTTTTCTTTCGTAGTGTGGTCCCTTAATCGCAATCGAATTTCACATGGAATTCGTCAACGAGATTTTCGCCAATTATTAAGTGGGTGGTCATCTGGCAAAATACAGCCAAATTTTCGTCCCGATAAAATGAATTTCTTATCATATCTAGTCTGAAAATAAACAGGTGTTTTTCCCAAATGACATGGAGGTGGCTCCACAGACATTTTGGCTTCGGTCAAACTTCAGCTAATTAATTTTTATCTCCCAGCACTCTGTGGGAGGTTCAGCGGCATTTTGCTTTTCGGTCAGCGGGCATTCCTGCCTCCTCTCGGACAGTGCGTGCTTAATCAACATTTATTTTTATCTCTCTGGAACTCCGCGGGAGGTAACCTGTCCAACTTAAAAATTCCCTTTTCCATTGCCATGGCAGATTGGACATATCTTACCCGCCGCCCCCGTAAATAAATAAGATTAATTCCAGTATCTTCCTTTTTACCTTCTCGACAATGGAAATAAAAAATTTTACCACTTTTCCTTGCCAGAAAAATAACACCGCTTAGTGTCCTTTTCGTGATGGCTTCTTATCACCTAAATTTAAATCTCGCTTTTTTTCTTCTTTCATTTTTTACCAAGCCAAATAGTCTCGCATATATCTCACTCCCTATCTATCTATCTATCTATCTATCTATCTATCTATCTCAATTTATTCCTTAGCAAATACGGCCAACCCTTCCGATAATATTGTTTCTCCCTTATCGCCTTTCTAACAAAACCCAGACCTTGTCTAACGATATCTTTCCCTCGACAAAGACTTAACCTCTTTTCCTCGTGGGTGGTCAGGCAGTCCTGTGACACAGTTTAATGTTTTTATATTCTGTCCCGGAGTTTAGCTAGCCGGTCTGGAATTTGTCAATTAGATTTTCGCCAGCACTAAGTGGCTGTTATCTATTCCCGACAATATTATTTGACACCCTGACACAGTTAATTTTTCTTATCTAGCCCAAGCTCTGTATTCACCTGGCCCTTGTCAGGCAGTCCTACGACACAGGCCGTCAGAATTTTCACCATCTTTTTCCATTATCAAAATAACATTGTCAAATGTCCCGGTCGTGGGTGGTTTCCTTTATCATCTAAGCTTAAGTCTCGCCTCTCTTTTCCTTTCTTTTTTCATTTGTGCCCCTAAATGGTGTCACAATCCTTCCCTAACCTATTTGTCATTTACTCGTAAATGACACCTCAACCCAAATACACCATTTAGCATGCATCATGCATCATGCATCATGCGTCTGTCCCATGCAATTCTATTCTTCTGTTCTACATGCAAATGTAATATTCTTTTCATCTTTTTCTGTTCTACATGCAAATGTAATGTTCTTTTCATCTTCTTCTGTTCTACATGCAATTGTAATGTTTTTTTTTATCTTCTACTGTTCTACATGCAAATATAGTGTTCTTTTCATCTTCTTCTGTTCTACATGCAAATGTAGTGTTTTTTTCATCTTCTTCTGTTTTACATGCAAATGCAGGGTTCTTTTCATCTTCTTCTGGTCTACATGCAAATGTAATGTTCTTTTTCATCTTCTTCTGTTCTACATGCAAATGTAATGTTCTTTTGCATCTTCTACATGCAAATGTAATTTTCTTTTGCATCTTCTACATGCAAATGTAATGTGTGCGTGTGCCTGTGGGTGCAGATGTGGTTACTATGGCTTGTTCTTCTTGGTTAATGTTTTCCTCTCCGCTGTGGGAGGTTTTTCCGTCGCACGTGTCGGTCTCATGCCAGCCTCCTCCGCCGCTCTTTCTGCAATCTCTTCGCTGATTCTGTATGAATAAGGAACACTGCTCGGCATCTCTCTCTCGAGTTGCTGCATGCTCACTTGATTATCGCTCGTTAATTTCCTCTTACTCTTAATCTTCCATATTACTATAACCCCTATGGCTATAATTATGAATGGACCCATCACTACCGACCAACTTATCGCGATCTGCTCATCGTCTTCCCAAGCCATACCTTCATTTCCCAACGCACTTAACTTGTCCCTCAATTGATCCATATCGATCTTTTCTATCGGCTTCATTAGTACTGGCATTTTATGCAAGGTAACATTGGAGAATCCCTTCACTATTGGCTCCCACAACTCTGTACAATTGACTAAGCTTCTGCCAATCATTTCTATGATTGAATCTTTCTCTTCATATCTTTCTTCTTCCTGGTAATAGGGGGTAAGGAAATAGATATCCCAAATGCCGAACATCCCATGGGTAACTTTAACAGGGATAATGGTGGCCTTACTCTTAATGTCCTTGTGGAATCTCCCCCACATGCCCTAGACAAGCTGATAGGTTTCTGTGTGGCCACTGCCCACACCCCGTCTGAAACACTGATAGCTTGTGGTAATGCCGTGTTTGCTTATACCTCTACTTGGCAAGTTCTCTTAATTCCCTCTCTCTTCCCTTCAAACAATTCTAGTATGCACATTTTGTGGTTACCAGCTATATACATAGGGATTAACAAGGTACAAGTCCCTAGAGCATCATTTCTACACTTTCTAGCTTCTTCAGCAACATGAATTTCGTTCTCCCCGAATTTAAAGCTATGTATTCTGTTTCCACCTTGTACCTTGCTATCATTCCCAAACCTTGATATCTTCTGGGGTAGGGAATAGGTAAATTTATAACCTGGTATATCTCGAATATACTCTCTCTATCTAACAACGGAACAGATATCATAACCAATAGTCGTCTATTTTCCAACAAGGTCACACATCCCAGTGCATTATAATATTTCCACAATTCTTTGGTGGTGTCCACTGGCAGCCTTAAATGGTCGGGTAACTCGGCCTGTATTCCGAGTAGCACTTCCCTTAGGTGACTCGGGTTTACTATGCTTGGGGCGAGGTGTCCCAATGACAACATGTCTAATTGCGCTCTCACATGTTCCAGCAAGGTCGTCAACGACTGACTTGTTTGTCGTACCTTATTCGTAATTGTCATTAGTTGGAAATATCTTTGCATGAATCCGCTCATTTCCTGTAATTCTATCATTACAGTTTCTGTATCATTAATTACCTCTAGTTTCAACCCTGACAGGTTATTTATTAACCAATTGATTCTGGCTCTATTTTTGGCCACTTCTAACCTTGTCACATTTAATATTGTCACACTCTCCCTTGCCACTTGAGCAAGCGTCCTCTGGTTTACTTCCACTTCTCCCAGTTTCCTTCTTATGAATCTAACGTCATCTTCAGTCACTGTTCAAAACAGAACATTTAACGCTTTTCCCACAATCGGAACTACTGATCTATTTTCCCGCGTCTGCAGTAACTCTATTCCCTTCAGGTATTTTTGCATGTCCCTCCATTGAGCATCTATCACAGTGACCTCCGATTCTAGGGAGTGTAATAAACTAAGATACCCTTTCTCCTTGGGATAATCTTGCCCTACCTTTAACCGGGCTGCATCCAGCTGCGTTAGCTCATTTCTTAGTTTATTTAGTAGCGACTAGTATGGTTCTAAATCTATCCTGAATGTGATCAACCATTTAGACCTGGTTATTATTACTTCACTCGTCTTTTTAAAAATGGTATTTCGGCTGTGCTTCCCAGCTTCTACCATCGTCACCATCAGTGTGGCTACCATCATCATCATCATCATCATCATCAACCCTTTCATTTTGATCATTCCTGCAAAGTAACAAAATTCTCTTGTTTTTATTCTTCATAACCATTCAGTCATGCTCAATTCATTACTCAATTATTCCATAATTTCTTACTAAGTTCAGCTCTTCTCACTTCTAGCAGACAGAATGGTCCGGACAGGTGTGCCTGGCGCCAACTCCAAAGGTCGTACTTCATGACACCACTGATGGCCAGTTAGCAATGCCAATAATCTTCTTCCGTCCTTCGTGAGGTGCAGCTCGCAACTCCATCCCCTCCATCCACATCCACCACAGTCAGCCAGCAGGTTTTTGGATGAGCCAGTGTCGTTATCTGTCGACACCGAATGCTTCTATTCCGCACAGCCTTCTTTGTTCTACTGAGGTTTGGGGTTCTTCACCCTTCTTAATCTCATCTTCAGAGGTAGTCCCTGCTCAACCTCTAACCTTCCCTCTGTGTTTAATTCCCATCCAGGAGGTGTTTTGTCCTCTTCTTCCTCTCCTAATTTTTTCTTCTGTTTAGAATCCTCGCCCTGGACGTCTTCAATACCTCTTGACTCTATGTCTAGATCTCTCCTGTTTCTTAGCTTTTCCTTGAGCTGGGAAAGGGGTATTTGATCCTCTTCCTCCCACTCGTTGGGCCCTTCATCCTGCTTAGGGTGCCTCTTTTTAGAGCTCTTGACTGCTTGATTGGATCTCCTCACCTTTCTCTTCCTTTTCTTTGGACATGGGGGTACGATGGCGACCTCACAGGGTCTTCTCGCACCGATTCAGGCGACGACTGAACGCCGCTGATCCCCACCTCGGGTTCAAACTCCGTCACTATGATCGCTTCGTCTATCTGGCCAAGTCGATCTATCTCCTCATTTTCCTCGGAATCTTCCTCCGTCTCCATTTCTTCCGGCTCAACCAGAGTTACATTCCTTGTCCTTGTCTTCTTAGGCCTCGGCTCGCTCATTTCCAGGTTAGCTATTTCAGCCTTCTTTAGATCATTGGCATGGGCCCTCCTTGCTCGTCCTGCCACTTGATCCCATATTACATATGATACTGGACCCGTCTGCTCTACTATCCGGTAGTACGGTTCCCATCTTTTATCCAGCTTTCCTTCTCTCTGGTGAATTTTCTAGTAGACAATTCTACTACCTTTCTTTCAGCATTCACTCTCTCATTTCTTCTCTTCTGTGCCTTCTTTATTCTTCTTCTGGCCTGTACAAATATTTTAAGTTGTTCCAGCAAAAGCTGTTGATGATCTTCTCTCATATACTTTCTTCGGGGCTTCAATTGGTTATCCACAGGTTATCCACAGGACCACGTCTCTGCCAAACAACATAAAATAAGGAGAAAATCTGGAGGTTTCGTTTATCGTAAACCTCACGGCCGCCAAAGCCTGCGTCAAATACAAGTCCCAATTTCCAGTGTTCTCTCTGACCAGCTTGACCAATACATCTCCCAAGGTTCTATGAAACCTTTGCACTTTAGCATTTCCTTGGGGGTGATATGGAGATGTTTTTACGTGCTCTATATTCAAACCTGTCAGCACCTCTCTCATTATGCTGTTTATGCTGTTTATATTCTCCGTGCCACTATCAGTTACCAATTACACAGGGGCGCCATACCTAGGAAAGATTTCACTTATTATCAAACCGGCCATAGTTCTAGCCTTCTTGTCTGGTACTGCAAATGCCTCAGGCCAATTTGTTAGCCAATCAACAAAACTCACTATATAGTTGTTTCCTTGTGCAGTTTCCCCATATGGTCATGATACATCCATATTCACTTTCTCGAAGGGGAAGTTCGGCACGTCCATCTCCTCCAATGGTGCCATTTCCTGCCTTCTACTCTGCGACTGGCACACTACACAGCTCCGAACATAGTTAGTGACCTCTCCGTACAGTTTGGGCCAATAGTACTTTCTTCCAATTAGATCACATGTCCTATCAATTCCCATTTGACCCAACCTCTCGTGGCACTGTTCCAATATCTCTGGTCTTAAACTTTTGGGCACATACAACTTGGGCTTGACTTCTTCATCCCTGCCTGAGAGATAATACAGCCTTTCCTCTATTATGGCATACTTGGTGGTC